GTGGGAGAACTTGCACAATTGGTGGCTGACTAAATACTTTTTTGCCCCACTGTACATGATGCCACTGGGAGAGGTAGTCCATTGGTTTGGGTTGTAGTACCATCAATATGCTCATGATGCTCAATTGTACACTGCCACCCCAGACCATACTAGTGATGCAGTGAAGGACCTGGCCCTGTCTGTACAGGCTGTAGGGACACAATGAAACAGGCTGATATTGAACCCAAGCAAGAGAGAGTTACTGTTTGTTCATTGAGGACATTGGTCAACTCCAGTATTGTCTCTCAAAAGTATTATCTCTCAAAATGTCTGAGGGAACAGGTCTATGATTTGGAGGTGTCTCTCTCACGGCTACTACTGGATTGGAAGATGAAAGCCATAGCTAGGAGGGCTACTTCCCAGTTTTGGCCAGTGTGCCAGTTGGGGCCCTACATGGATTAATGCTACAGAATGCAGTGGCTGGCTTATTATGGGTACATTACGCCTTAGCTTCAGCCCCACGTTCCTTACCAATAAATTTCCAGGTGCAATTTGGTTTTGACTTATAATGCCCTGTATGACTTAGTGCCTAGGTACCTACAGAACCACCTCCTCCTACCTGAATCAGTCAGTCCAGTATATTATCTTTGGAGAAGTTCTTAGTTATAGTCCAACTTCCCTGAAGTGAGAGGAACTGAGGCCTGGAGGTACTGTTTTTCTGTTGCAGCCCTACCTCTGTGATATAGCGTCCCCTTAGAATTAAGGTTTGCCTCATCTATTATGTTTCAGAAGTTACTCAAGACAGCATTCGGTGGTTAGTATTTTGTAGCACCACCATCATTATCTGTATTTAATATTGTTTAGATTATATTTGCTCCATCTGTTTCTATGCTTTTATTCTATATTTTTAGCATGGACATTTTGAACTGATTATATATTGTGTATGTTATATTGTTGATTGCTAATGTAAACTGCTGCAAGTCTATAGCTGATTAGACAGTATATAAATGGAAGGAAGAAAGGATGGACAGACCTGGTCTATAAGATTTAAGAGATTTTTATTTTTTTTTTATAACAGTGAGACTATACAATATATTTTTGAATTTCAGACAATGTAGACAATTAGATTAGACAATTGGCTAATAAAAATATTGCTTGCTACACTGCCAAATCATTTATAAAAAGAATTATGGATTTACGACCACCAACACATTTTCACCAAATCCTTAAAAATGTATTTATTCTATTACATAAAAGACAAATGTACCACAGCTTCCAGAGGAGGTTAAAACTTCATATATTTATTCAATGTCATATGTATTGAATATGTCATAAAAATAATAAATAAATAAATATTACAACTTTTTTAAGTTCAAGAAAATATATCCTTGTTAAACATATTTAGGAAAACATATAAAATAATCAGATCACAGCTTTAAAATTAATCACTTATGTGAGTACTTTATTTTTTAATAACCAGGAAATTAAACTGCTATATGATTCTCAGGTCAAAGAAAAGGATTGAATGTTTTTTTCCATACAGGACTTACTTGATTAACAAGTGAAAATCCATTCCTCCGCCACATTCCAGCATGAACTTGGGCACACAGAACTAGACATCGTAGGGGATGTTCTATTAACATAGGTGGACTAAGTTCACTCTGTATTAGTTGAAGATAACACAGAAATTCACTTGATGTATGTGCTTTATGTTCTTAAAGATCATTCAAAAATTCATTTCCATGACTTAAAAAATAGGAGGTTACGGCTACCTCTCCATATCTAAATGGTTCACTGGACCCTAGCCAGTGTCACCTGTGGATCTCCCCAACTAACAGTTCAGTTGATTTAAAAAAAAAACAAACCTAAAATACCCCAATTATAGAGGTCTATTAATACAACACTACTCACCATTGGTAGCTGTTCTGGAAACTTGTATGCTACTTCAGTTTTGCTCAAAAGTGCATGCAGACCTATATTAAAAACAAATATGCATTCTACCTATTACATTACACTGCATTGCATTGCATTGCATTACAATCTGTTTGTTTCTTTGTTTGTACTTATATATTACCAGAGTCCCAAAAACTCCTGGTGGTTTGCAATTTGATCAATAAAATAATAAAACTAATACAGAACGTAAGAACCATAAACTATCTGCCCATTTCAGCATCTGTTAATTAATGACAATTTTATGATTAAATTACAGATTATAGTTTAAATATCTGTGAAACACCTCAGTCTTCACCACCTTGCTAAATACCATGACAGAAGGTGCCATCAGGATCTTCTTGTGTAGGCTATTCCACAGGATTGAATCCATAACAGAAAAGCATTGTATTTTCTCCTATGCACTTAACATAAAGTGGGATCTGCAACAGTTCTGCTTGGGACAAATGATGGTTCTACCTGAAGAAGACTGTCCTGGAGATATCTAGTAGTGAGCTATGAAGGGCTTTATAAATTAAAAACATAATTTTGAACTGCACATGGAAGCCTACTGGTGGGCAGCATAGCATGCAAAGAATCAATTTCACATAACTGTAACGACTCTCATTTATCAGCAAGTAAGCTACTATATTTTATACTAATGTAGTTTCAAAGATGGCCTTCCACAGTAGCCACTTTTAGAGTGCATAGAGATGATTATAGTGTGAGTTAGTGTCACCAGGCTTCCGATTCCAGAAAAGGTTGCCAACTGTTGCACTAGTCAAAGCAGAGCAAAGGTTCTCCTAGCTACAGCCTCCACCTGCCGATCAAGCAGTAACCATGAGACTAGGACAATACCCAAATTGCAGACCTGCTTCTTCAAAGGAGTGTTATTCTGTCCAGAGCACAACCAGAGCTGACAGAAAACCAGTTCATTTCTGGACAATCAGCAACTTTGACTTGGAGGGATTCAAATTCAATTTCAGCTTGCTCCTTGCCATCCAGTCCCTCACAGCCTCCAGACACTGGATCAAGACTTCTACAGCATCGCAGGAGTGGGCTGGAGATGTATACCTGGGTATTATTAGCATACTGATAAAAGCTCACCCTGAACCAGCACATTACCTCTTTCAGGGTTTTCATGGGAGAGAGGGATGAATCCTTCAGCATCCCACATGTAAGCAAATGCCGGATCAACCTCTCCTCCCCCACAATTGCAAGTTAAAACTATTTAGTGAAGTGCTGAAACCCTGTAATATACTGACACAATGACCAATCCTCTTAAGCTACTCAGAAGGATATTATAACCAATCGTAATTAAGGCTGATGAAAAGTTTAAAAGAACCAAGAGAGGGGCATTCCCCCAATGCAGGTCCAAAAAAAGTAATCAGAAAGAGCCATTATATTACTAGAATAAGCTATTTTCAAAGCTGGAGTATGTATGGACCCTAGAAAAAATCATGTCTGTTTAAAGAGTGGCAAATAGGTACCACACCGTTACTCCCGGTATTACAACCAGACTGGTTGTACATGAACTTAAATCACTTATCTGTAGATGAAAACTTATACCCCATTATTGGAATTTATAACATTTAGACTCAGCTTGTGAGATCTTCAACCTTTATAATCATAGACAATTACAGTATCCATTTATGGTGCCTGGCATGTCTTGAAAAGCAACACGTTAATGGCTTGCCTGTGAATACAAAGCTGGCAGACTGACATATGCCTGCTAGGGCGTGACAAGCAACCAACTTTATGGGTAAGCTTGACACCAAGGACACAAATATTATAGCCTGGGAACTATGCAAAACCTTTTGGCATTCTTTTTGTGGCTCCCAGATTTCCCATAAAGTGAATGGGGTCAAAAATTTGGGAAACCTTTTTGCATTTTAGGGGGCAAAATATATGGCTTAATAACTGCTTTACAAATCCATTTCATCAAAACACCCCTCACAAAAGGACCCTACACTCCTCACAAAAGGACCCTGCACCTGCTCACTTTTAAAGTATAGATTTTACCTGCTCCCCAAAACCTTTTGTGCCCCCTGAACCAATAGAAATTGGATACCACTCCTTATAGTATTCAAGATTTAGATATACCTAAAATATACCTGTTACATCTATAATTATATATATTTACACAACAGTGATAAACTGCTATTATGGTAAGTATTGTTGAATTTGAGTCTGACAATATCAAAGAAACAGTTTCATACAGCCTGCTAGCTCATGTCTTTGTTGTAAAGAGAATTCACTTCATTTCCCACCCACAAAGATAGCAATCAAAAAACAAAATCTATGTAACAGCTAGGAAAACCCCTTTGAATTTTTCTAGTTGCATAAACTGCATTAAAAAGTAAACACCAATTCAACTAAGCAATCTAGGTCTTACCTGCAAGTAAGCGGGAAACAGGAAGATGAATGCTAACTTTTTCCTGAGAAACACAATATCGAATAGTTTCAACTGTATGTCCACACATGCTGAGTTCAATCGGCTGCTCTCCATCAGTAAAACCACAGTGGCATTGCATCAAAGTAGTCAGACATTTCTTATATGCTTCAATGAGCACTTTTTCCTATAAAGATTAAATGTAATTACATTTACAGGAAATACAGCTCTTAAACATTGTAACAAAATTATCATGTATTTGTAATCAAGTCAAGCAAGTGAAAATTTGCATCAAGATAAAATGTATCTAACCTATTTGACTACAATGTATTTACCAATGCTGTTTCAAGAATTATTGGAACTATGTCACAGTAGGCAGCAGGAGGTACGTAATTCCATCTTACAAAGAAAACTCTAATGACAGAAGCAGGAACATAGGAAGCACATATGAAAGACACTTTAAATTCTGATATTATTTATCTCCAAATAAAAGAAGAAAGTTTCAGTGAGGAAAAGTTTCCATTCTAGCCTCTACGGCTTGCTTTGCAATGGGAAGTGCATGTATTTCAGCTAGAGGGACCTACTTTGTGGACTTACAGTGATAAAACCTAAGTGGATTAATAGCACTGCAGAAAGATTGTAGTGTTTTTAGTGCCTTCCTCTAGGATACTTTATCATTCCACTCTAGAGCAAACTTGTAGAGTACAGAAGATGGCCTTGACAGAGAGAGGAAAGATCTATTACCAAGGCAATGAACAGATAAACATGACTTAAGCTCATACAGAGAGAGAGATTAATGAAAACATCTAAGACAGGAACTATCTAATTGAAGATAAAATATTCTGTTACAATAGTCATTCTAATAAAAGTAGTTTAGGCCTATGCAGCATTTGTTTCTTGATCTGGTCTGCCTTGTAGGGCTCACTAGACTTCATTTTGTGGGCCAGTTTTTATAGACGAGTCCTCATGAGATCATTTTCTGGATTGTGCTTTACCTTTTCTTATACATTTGCAAACCTTGCGGTTCTTCATGTGTGCTATCACCATTTCATGTATGACTACGTAAACAGTGGTACTTGCAAGGACTGAAAGTAGACGGAATCAATATGAAGTGTATCTTTCTAAAAAATTCAGTGATTATGAATTTCAGCTCTTTTCCTCACATACAGTGATCTATTGCCAAGTCTGAAGCTATGGAAGCTATCCTTGTTTCTTTAAAAGACACATCCAGCCATATTTCCATCCCAGGACACCATCCTAAGAGGTAGGCAAAAAACTTGAGACTGAAGTGCTTTCCAAACTGCCTCCCACTGTATCAGTATGCTCAAATATTAAGATCTACCTCAGCCACATATATATTTCTAAATGTTTTATCATTTCTCATGCACAGAATCAACTACAACAGGCTGGATTTAATTCAGTGCATTCTGCCCATCTCTGATTCAGTGGATACATTTGTGCCTCTGTGCTAATGACAGATTTTTTGAACTGCCTAAGTTTTCAATCAGCAAAATAGGGGGAATTTCCCCTTTATTTTACATCTCTCCCTGTTCTAAACAATCTCCAAATCCTCCAAAGAAAATTAGAGAGGGAGCACAAAACTACAAATGCAAATAGGTATAACTCACAACAGTTTTTTCACCAAATAATTAATCTCATATTAATGAGCACCCTCTTTTCCTTTTATTCCTCCTGAAATACAGCCCTAGCCCAGATCCAAAGGTTGTGTGTTATTTCATTCCAATGCTTCTTGCCTGAAAAACATGGGCATTTGAGCTTCCATTTTAAACAACTCAATCTTATTGGTACAAATCATATAAAACGAACTTTGTGGATTCATCTATTCCCCTAATTCATTATTTATTTTTTATTTTATTCAATCTGTATAGCTGCCCATCTCAAACCAGTGACTCTAGGCAGTGAACAATCATAACAACAATTAAAACAGTTAAAACACAATACAAAAAAGAAATTAAATACAGATTAAAAAATTAAATACAGATAGCAGCCAAGAGGTATTATAATCCATCAGTGTCAACATAACCAGGAAACGGGACCCTTCACACACTCAGGACCCCGGGCCCAGGTACACAGCCAGGCCTTCTGAAAGGTCAGCAGGGTTGGGGCCATCCTAATCTCAGGAGGGAGAATGTTCCAGAGGGCAGGCATTATGGCAGAAAAGGTTTCCTGGTCCTTGCCAGCTGACATTCTTTGGCTGACATTACCTGGAGCATGCCCATCCTGCTGAACCGGATTGGACCGGAAGAAACAACTAGGAAAAGATGGTCCCTCAGGTAACCTGGGCCCAAGCATGAAGGGCTTTAAAGGTGACAACCAGCACCTTGAATTGCACCCAAAAACACACTGGCAACAAATGCAGCCCCTGAAGCAGTGGTGTTACATGTGCCAAATGGCTAACACCATTTACAATCTGTGCAGCTGCATTCTGTACCAGCTCACCCCAAACCATTGGATCACCTCACCCAGCAGCCTCATGCAGATGTTAAGTAAGAGGGAAGAGAGAACCAAGCCCTGTGGCACCCCACAAAGTAGGGGCTGTGAGCTGGACCTCTCCCCTCCTATCAACACCAACTGACCCCGGAGGAAGGAAAAGAACCAGAACACCGTGTTGCCCACCTTCAACTCCCAAAGTCAGTCCAGAAGGATACCATGATCAATGGTATCGAAGGCTGCTGAGAGGTCAAGAAGAACAAGGATGGATGTACTACCCCCATCCCTCTCCCACCAGGCGTCATCCAAGAGCATGATCAATGCCGTTTCAGTCCTGCATTCTGGCCTGAATCCTGACTGAAAGGGGTCCAGATAATCTGTCTCATCCAAAGCCCTTTGAAGGTGCTGTGTGACAACTTTCTCTACAACCTTCCCTAAAAAGGGAAGGATGAAAACTGTCCAGGTTAGTTGTGTCGAGCAATGGTCCCTTGAGGAGAGGGCACACCACCACCTCAAAAGCCAGCAGGACCACCCCTTCCCTCAAAGAAGAATTAACCACCACCCAGGCAGCCTTGACCAGCCAGGAGGAGTATAGATCTAACACAGAGGTGGCCGAACTAACAGGTACAAGAACCCTGTCCACTTCCTCAGGTTCAACAGGCTCAAACTCCTCCCAGAGAACCATGCAAGACTCAGCCCGCATAACCTCTACTGGCCCCTGCATCAAGACTGGAGTTCAACGCAGAGCGAATCCGAGTGATTTTATCCACTAGACACTCAGCATATTCTTCACAGTGACTCTGAAGACAGACCCCAGAGTATCTGAAAATATTTTAACAACTTACATCTAAAGCACACCAGTCTTGCATCATTGAGATGACATGTGTTAATTTCATCTGCAGTGTGAATGCAGCTTCCCACTCTGGTTCCATTTCAATATGCTGTCCTACTTGACGGGTTATTGGATCCATACCCTTCAGACACAGATGAAAACAAAGATGAAAACAAGAGGAGAATTAATGCTAAGATCGAGCAAGTCTTTGCCTAATGATTGCCTATAGTGAAGATGAAAAAACTGCTGCCTGTAGTTTGCTCATCCTAATTTCATATGGGGTGGAGGAGAGGGAGAGAGAACTAGACAAACCTGCAATGCTGCAAATTATATCCATCATAGTTCTGGCTCACCACTTTATCAGCTATAGCATCTGACTTCCTGAGGATCAACAATTCTTCACAGGAAAATCCTTGATTAATAAAGAGGACTGTAGAAAAATTAGCTTTACTGAAATTGGGGCAACAGTAGCCATCCAGTAAAACTGGTTCTATCTCCAAGAACAGAGAAACCTAATGTAAAAGGTATTGGAAATTTAACAGTTATATGAAAAACAATTTTCACTGCCTCATATGTGTTTCTACAATGAACATGGTACCATTTTTGAAAAACTTCCTACCTGCATGCATCTCAGCAATTCCAAGAAGACATCAAAGCCATCTAGAAATTTTTGCCTCAGTTGATCTGACCAGTCAACTGGCTTGCTTATCAACACATACCTATGTACAGCAGAAATAAATTTGCAGGCTGATTTTAGTGCATTTACACAAAAATATATTTGTGTGATTTTTAAAGATACACTTACTTTAAATCCAGAATCAGACTTTGGACTCGTCGGAATTTGAACGCCTGTAGTGCAGTATACCGTTCAAACTGAAATCTCCCCTGTATATCTCTATGTCGTAAGTGGTCCATAAATGTTGAAATTATAGTAGTCAGGAGGTTCTCTTCTACAATCAACATTCTTGCCTATAGCAAAAGCACATTTTAAAGTGTGTTTTAATCAGAAGCTGCAGGAACTCAAGCAACAGCTTCCAACTATTTGTAGGCCAGGTGCAGTTCTTTTTCAGCACCAAATGGCAGATAGTTCCTGAATGGGAGACCAGCAGAATCATCATGTTCCAAGATATTTAAAGGAAGGATTGGATAAATTGTTAAAAACCCATGCCGCTATTTAGGAATTTTACTTTTAAATAAAGCCACCATTATTCTGAAACTTTGTGTCATAGTTAATATCATCCATTAACAATGAACATCTGCTGGTAAGTACTCTGATCTCATGAATAGCGATCACATTCATTTTTTAATTGCTTAGAACATGAACAACATACAAAGTTGCTAAAGCTATGTGGCACTGAAATTATCTCACAGCACACATTTTTATAAATTAAGAGGACCCCCAGAGTTTTCTTATAGCATCCACCCTTATTTCTCCAAAAGATGAATAGAATCATCAAGGGGGCTTTTCGACATCAAACTCCACCCCCTAGCCAGTGCAGGTACAAAAATCAAAGTATCCCAGTCATATGCTGTTTAGCCTCTGCTTCAACACATCTATCACCCTAGATAAATCGTTTCACTGCTGAACAGCTTTTATATTAGCAGAGTAAACAGTAGAGCACTCAAGCAGAATTTACTCATGTAACTTCAAATGATTATTTGTGTCCTGTAGTCTAAAACAGGGGTATGCAACTTCTCTTCAATCAAAGGCTGTTCTTGGCTTTGTATAGCACAATGGTTCTCAAACATTTTGGTCTCAGCACCCCTTTACATTCTTAAAAATGACTGAGGACCCCAAAGAGCTTTGGTTTATGTAGGTTATATCTATCAATATTTACTATATTAGAAATTAAAACTCACAAATTATTATTTTTTTTAATTTGACTTTGTGGACCCCCTGAAAGAATCACTGGTATAGCAAATCAAGGATCACACTCTAAAGCTGGCCGGGCTGTGGGCTCCAATTGCAATTTTTATGTATTGCATTTTGTAAACTTTAAAAAATATACATTATTAATATTGTAATAAGAACCAAATTTCCCCTCCTCCAGCCACAGCATTGATCCAAAAAAAAAAAAAAAAAACCCCAAAGAAATTAAGGGAAACAGAGAAGCAGTAGAGAAAAATGTGGGGGGGAAAAGTTGGAAAGGCCTAGATGGGGAGTAATGAGAGCATGGGGAATCCCTGCCAGGCATTACCATCTTGACATAGTGGGAAGAATGTATAGCTCCAGTGGGTAAGAGTGATGCCAGTGGGAGAAGGAGCTTTTGGTATAGAGTTACCTTTGCTCAAGATCAAAGAGAAAAGGATAACTCTTAGATTAGATCCACAACTGAGGTGAGGACAGATGGGCTCTGAAGGTGTGAGGGAAGCAAAGCAATTAAGGAGATGGAATTCAAAAATCAAACTCAGAAGAATGCAGTAGCAGACTGTTTTTGCACTGTTATCTAAAAAACTCTATGGACATGTTTTATATATTTAGGCAACTGATAAGACTCCTACATCTAAAAGTGATGAAATGGCCGCTTTAAAATTGAAAGGACATTGAGTCACTTGATAGTGAGAGTACTGAGAGATGAGTTCCTCATATTACAAGTACAAATCTATTTATAGCATAGATATGAAAGTGCAAACCAATTAAAACTTGAAATCATCAAACTGGAAATAAGTGAAATTAAGTGGGCCAGAATGGTCATGATTATCAGGCAATATTCAGAGTATGAGAGCATATTAAGGAACAAAATGACAATGATATTAAAAAGAAAATGGTTAAGCTTGGCTATAATTTAAGAAATGAAAGGATCATATCTAATAAGAAAAGGAAGGAAATGCAGTGAGAAAGTTGGGCTGGGACAAGGTTGGGTAGTAAAGCTGGGCAAAAAAAGGTGGAGAGAAGAGAAAGACTGGGACAAGGTTGGGTAGTAAAGCTGGGCAAAAAAAGGTGGAGAGAAGAGAAAGACTGGGACAAGGTTGGGTAGTAAAGCTGGGCAAAAAAAGGTGGAGAGAAGAGAAAGAAGCAGCAAACATACTGGGTAAAGACAAACCATGACCAACAATCAGGAAAACTTAAGAGCATATGAGCTGGGGGGAAGAAAAGATTCAGAAGAGGTCTTAGTATGCTGTATGTGCTAAGAAGAGCCACTTATTAGACTCATACTTTGGAGTGAAAGATGATACCTTCTTCTGGGCGGCTGGCTTCATGCCTAAGTCAGGACTAGAACTCATGACCTCCTGGTTTCTAGTTTGGTGCCTTACTCACTACCACATATTGGGTCTCTTTTCTTCAATTAACAGGTTGTAATTTTGTTACAGGTAGGCTCTGTCTTCTTTAATAATGAAATTATATAAGACTCCATCAATATTTAGGATTCCATACAAAATAATAATGCATTATCTGTAGTAGATTTAAGCAGCATTCAGAGCAAACAGAAGGTTTCATTCAACATTTAAATACTTACAAGAGAAGGTACTGTGAATATCTGCACCGAGAGGTCAGCAATTGAATATTCTCTGTCGTGGTCATCTTTCACATAATCATTCTGCAATCGCTCATAATTCTATTAAGAAGGAGGCAAAAAAGGCAAAGGGTGCCAACTATCAGTTTAAAAAAAGGTAGCACTACTCACCAGAGTAGGTACAGTGAAGAGCTGAACAGAGAGAGCAGTCACCGACACTGGCCGCTCGTGATCATCCTCCATAAAATCTCTCTGCAACTGCCGATAATTCTAAACAACAAGGGGAAATTCACCTCTAATCCGCACTGATCGGATATTTTCTTTAAGTTTAATATTTGTGATGGGAAAACTATGTCCTAAAATTGCATTGTACACAGACTGAATAGCAATTTTTTATATCTGAAACTACTAGACTATGGACAAGGGCACACCTGTAGCAATCGGAGTTATTTGGGTCAAAGAAATAGGAAATTAAATAAAAATACCAAATGTATCCATTGTTATAGGAAATATTTCTGGATTCAACCTATATTTAAAGTAAATTGATGGAATTGTGCAATACATAGAAATCTTTTTTTACATTATACACAATGGACTAATTATGAGTTAACAAAAAATGGAAAATTATTAGTTTTCACCCTGTAAAATAATATTTGTTAGGAGAGGAAGTGCTAAAGTGATATAAATTTTTAAAAAGTTAATATTTTCACCTAAACTGCCAGATACATTCTGCTAAAATGGCCACATGTGCTACCATAGTTACAGGAGAATATGAATTTTCACATTTAGATCTGGAGTATTCTAGTAAAGAAAGGACTAAAAGGAAACAAGTCACTGACTTTAATAAAGAGAAACATCTCCATTGTGCAAGAATTACAGATGAACTACTGAGTTCCACTGAGCATTTGGTGAGAACCAGTATGGTGCAGTGCTTAAAATATTGGACTGGCACTGGGAAGAACCAGATTCAAATCCACCCTAAACCACACAATCTCAATGGATGATTTAGGGCCAGTGACTCTTTTAGCAACCTGCCTCATAGGTTTGCTGTTGTGGGGGAAAATGGGAGAGAGCACCGTTTCTGAACAAAATACAGGATATAAATCTAATAAATCCTTGTATCAGATTTTTATTGTTTCAATTTTTGTATTTCGTTTGAATTTGTATTATTTATTTATATACATGTTTATAGCTTAGCTTCTTCTGGGGACTCGAGGGGTTTACAACAGATCAGAAGTAACAACAAAGAAATAATTGAATAATAATAATTCAACCAACTAATAAATGGCAGTCTTTTACCATTAGTATGCAAATGCCTTACAAAAATCTGAATCTTCAATGCCTTCATAAAATCTACTAAGTTAGGGGCATTCTATATCTTAGGAGGTGTCAGGTTCAGCCCAAGAACAACAAGGCAATCCAGTACAGTTCAGTTCCTTTATTAGCTTGTACCTAATAGACAAAATCTCGCCAAACTAAACCTGTGCTAAAGCAACTAGCGGATATAAGCCCATGAGATCCTAGGGAGGGACTAGCCTCCTCCTTTCTATTCCCACGCTCTTGCTGTGGACTGAGGAGGTGCTTGCTCTGGAATGTTTCCCCTCCCTTCTGATAACCTTGATCCTCAAGGGGAAAGATTCCAGTATCTTCCTCGCTCAAGCCTTCCATTACAGGAGGCAAGATATTCTAAAGAGAAGGGTAGCCACTGAGAAAGAGCATCATTAGGTTCCCACCCCATTTACTTCATCTGGGATGGTGACCCTTCAGAGACCACATGGGGTGGGCCCAAACTAGATGGGAAAAACTGTCCTTTAGGAACTTGGAGGTCAAGTTATGCAGACTACTTTGAATCTGACCTAGAATCATATTTGTAATCATTGCAGTAACCACAACAGAGGTGTAATACTGATTAATTTGCTACCTCCAGTTAGTAGGCTGGTTGCTGCATTTTGAACTTGTTGAAGCTTACATGTCATTGTTGCAAGGGTCTCCTGACCCTAAAAGGCCCTAACTGGCTTCCACCTGCTGCTATAGCAGGTGGCATGAGTCCAAGTGGACTCCCAAACCATGGATCTTTTTCTGTATGGGGAGTGCAACTCCATCCAGAGTCAAAGTTGGAATTGGAACCAAGCCAGATTGGTAATATCATTACAAATAATTTTTCACTGGATGAGAGAAAGTTACTCACTCTGGCAAACCGGAAAGCAAACAGTTTCTTGTATTTCAAATCCATAAGTAGGCTGCTCATGAATAACTGATGATATACACTTCTAGCTCCTAGGGATGGAATGGGAAAGTGTCAGGAAAAGATACACATTAATGTGGATTTGCATGATAACTGTCTATTAAAAAAATAATACTAAATATTTTATACTATGCAATAATTATGTAACAGATGGCCCTCTAAGTCAATGAATTAATGCATACTGATAGAATGTTACTAAAAATGGGAAAATAACTGAGGAATCTTAAGATGGGAAAATGTTAGTAGAATGGTAGTAGATAGTATGTGCCCCATTGTGAGAAATGAATATTTGTCAAAATTAGTGAAAATAGCTGTAGATATGAGCATGCTTTTGCCCATTTTGTAATATGTCAGTAAGCAATGGAACAGCCTGTTTCCTGAAGTTGTGGGTGCCCCATCACTGGAAGTCTTCAAGAAAAGATTGGACAACTATTTGTCTGGGATGGTATTAGGATTCCTGCACTGAGCAGGGGGTTGGACGAGAAGACCTGTAAGGTTCCTTCCAACCCGATAATCCTATGATTCTGATTCTGTATGCCAGGAGAAGCACAAATGTTGAATGCAGTGGGAATGGGTTACTTGAGAATTCTGTGTGGCTAGAACAAGAAAAGGGTTAAGAATGAATGAATGAATGAATGAATGAATGAATGAATGAATGAATGAATGAATGAATGAATGAATGAATGAATGAATGAATGAATGAATGAATGAATGAATGAATGAATGAATGAATGAATGAATGAATGAATGAATGAATGAATGAATGAATGAATGAATGAATGAATGAATGAATGAATGAATGAATGAATGAATGAATGAATGAATGAATGAATGAATGTAGAAGTGAGTGACCACTATGAAGGAAGTACACTGAAGTGATTTGGTCATATAGAGAGGAGGATAATGGGATCCACAGAAAGAGAGATGAGAAGTTTAAAGAGCAGAAGGCAAAGTATGCATGAATTAATTTCAGGACATGGTAGAGGCATGTTTGGTAAGCACAGAAAGGTATGGATTGGCATGGTGAACAGTGTAAATGTAAAATAGTTTTAGATTTCCTTTTCTTTCCTTTTATCTCCTGCCTTACTTTTGCTTATTACGTCTTACTTTTTTTCTGTGCTTTGCATAATGTTGCTTACCCAGGAAGGAAATACTGTGGTGGGTATGTATTTATAAATTCTGAAGAGAAAGGTACTGCTTTATCAGTCACCGTGAACTCAATCAGGATGCCTGAAGATGCTTTTCAGTACTAGGTGCCAGCATGAAGCAAAGGATCAGAATACTAATGCTCCCAAACCCTGCTGAGAAACTAACCAACCCTGTAAAATTAGTTCTACTAGTTATAAGGAGATTGTAGCATAATCCTATGCATGTTTATTCAGAAGTAGATATTAACACTGTTAACAGAAATGACTTCTTAAAGAGAAGGCTTACAATTAGTCTTATACTTGGCAAGAAACAAAAACACATCTTTTAAATGCCATGCAAAAAAATGGCCATAGAAGCAAGCGCTGCATAGCAGGCCACAGAAAATGTATCAACACTTGGTACCATTAGATTTTTTCTTTAAAAAAGAAAAAGAACAAATAATTCACCTTTCCAAAGTTTAGAATCAGAAAGCATCAATTTATCCACAAGGGAAGAATTTTCTCCTTCTGCACCTTCCTGTAAAGCAACTTGGCATAATATTCTACGAAGGCCATCTAATTAAAAAGAAAGGAAACAAAAGAGTCAAAAGGAGGCATCAATCTGCTTCCACAATCAAATTTCACATACATGTCATTCTCTTATGACATTTAATCACTAACATACAAAACCTTAGCACTGGAGATATTTACATTGCCTATTTAAATTAAAACTAGCCATGTATAAATAGTAATTACACTTCTTCAAGTTCCTAAGAGTTTAAAGCAACGTGGCAGAGATTCCCACCTCAAAAGAAGAGAATGGGCCTTGCAACAGTATTTTCAATGTGGAATATTGCTGAATTTGCTTTTAGTACACGAAGCTGAAATGGAGAGATTTCCAGCTACTGTTTTCCTTCTGGCTACTGTTGAACTATATTTCCTGGCATCCCTTACAATTGTCCATGATGTCAAGTGCCAAAGAAGGGACATGGGTTCTCTACACATAATATAAACAAGATAAGAATTCACCAAAGTCAAGTTAACCTTCCCTGCTTACATTAACCATTCTTTCTCCCTTGCTGCTGAGGGCATGAATGGGGCATAATTGTGCCTTTATGTTTTCCTTCCATGAGATGATTTTGAATATGGAACTAATACTCAGGAAGGGTACTCTCCACAATAAAATTTCAATGCAAAATATTCTTGCAGCTTCTTTTAGGAAAATAGTATTAGGAGATCCAATTACAAATCTCTTCCAATTTAAAGTATTTTGGCTCCTATGGTTTGAGTAAAAAAATCTGTAATGAATCAGAACATTTGTTTATATTTTTTTACCCTGCTTATAATAAATGCCGGAGTAAAGAACATTTTGAACATATGTAGAAACATGTTGTTCTGCATGATAATCTACCATTCAGTATCCAGAAATTCGTTCATATACATTTTCCCTCAGATCTTTTTTTAAGATCATATTTTAATTCTAGTACCTGAATATCCAATAATGTTACTCAGCCAAGTGAGAAGTTTCAGACCAAAGCTTTGATGGGCAACAATAGATGAATGCATAACTTGAACCTTCAATGGCCGAGTCTGGCGAGTGGTACTTCTCTTAAGATGAGTAAGAGAGGAAGGGCATAAAAGTCAAACATTTTATCAAAACAAAGCCTTTTTGTATAAGATGTGTTCATTTAAACATTAAAAAAACTTAAGAAAAATATTGTTTGTAAGCTTTAATTCTCAGTACCATATGCCAACAATTTTAATGCAGTAAGTTTTTTTGAGTTACCTCACAAACTGATAAAAGAGTAGCATCATATATTAATTTAAATTCTCATACCTTTGTAATACCAATACACACTTAATTTCAGCAAAGGGCCGATCAAATATATTTCATACTTGTCAGCCTGCATAGGCTTTCTCTTTCCAATATTGAACATTATCTTCTTTACTTCTTTTTCCTTCTTTGCAACTTTCAAATATGCATTTTTTAATAAATATAGATAGGCTAGAATTGTGAGATGGTAATGCTGAATCAACAATTTATTATTAATTAAGGAAAATTAAGCAATGTAACATACCACTATCACGGATTTGGCTTGGTCACAGTACTGAAAATCTCCATAGCGAACTGATCTGCGCCCCTATTAAACAATCACATGGCAATTAACAAGTCATTCAAATATAATTAAAACTTTAAGACAGGGATCAGCTGGCCTAGGTTCAGAAGCTTTCTGCAAGCTATCATTACAGACCTCTGGTGATAGTTACACATCATTTCTCATGTAGTCTTCTATGCAGGAGAAAGAAGAGGATATCAGAAAGGAAAAGCATTATTGTAGAGAGAAAAAGCTTCAGTATGAACTACTTACTTCCACATCAACCTCCACTTCCATATAGCCTCAAAAAATGACATGAGGGAATGAGACTCTTAACAGAAAAAAGATTGCATGTTGCATTTTAATGGCAGGTTGAATAGTTTAAAAAATGGCTAACCGTTAAATCCTATGGATGTCATAAAGTTCAGGACTGCAGTCAACTATATTGTCTGTTCTTGAATTATACTACATTTACCAAATATCAACAATGACTTATGCTTATTACAATATTAAATAATTATAGATGCAGTACATATCCAAAAGTGAAGGTCTGCATATTCATATGGAATTTTATATTTACAATAAGCATATATGCGGCTATGCAAATTGGTGGTAAAATTAGTGCTGTACATAAAAATGACCTTGCATGTTTTTCCTACCAGTTCTCATTCAATATGATGAAAGAGGATTTGCTTTTGAGATTTCTTTCAAGGGGAAAAAAAAAGTCAGACAATTGCTCATAAATCTTTTTTTATTTATATTTATTAAGAATTTTCATATAATAAAAGACAAAGCAAAAGAAAAAAGCAAAAAACAAAAAACAAAAAAGTGCAAGGAAATTAAAGGAAAACGAAAGACTAAGGTTAAGAAATATATAAATGACTTCCAACCTTCTTTTCAACAGATAATTACAATCTTATTGTTCCTCATCCCTTTTAAATATTTTACAAATCCCCTCAGTCTACAAATGCTCATAAATCTCAGAGGAAAACTTCATGAAGGCCACTGAACTTTTCATACTACGAAATATGGTAGGTAGGCTTCAAAGTGATGAAAATATGTGTATTTCCATACATATGTATTACATACATTTCATAACTTAAAGTGTAAATATAAAAAAGGCAGCAAAGATTGGCTTGCAGAGACTGAATAAAACTACAAATTCCCCAGGAACCACAAATACATGCCAATATAGATAGGGCTTGATGAGCTAAGAGGATAGAGTTAGAGATGGTATCTAATTGCTATTAAGGGACAGTATACGAATGGGGGCTGAATTTAATTATTTAATGAATGATTACTTCCTAGATCAAAGAGATGCTGTGCATGCATAAGTCATTTAAAAACATTTGATATGCTTGATAAAGTATAGATTTAAGCAAGTGTCTTGGTATGCTGAAATTTAAAAAAGCATGCTTTCCCTAATTCACAGTTATGATGGCTGCTGTATTGCAAAAGTTTCTCAGACTGGGAAGGCATATAGTACAAACTGCCCTACGTTGTACAGCATATACTGCAGAAGAGACAGGGGGAGAATCTGCATTAATTAAATTTTCATTAATTGCACATTAGTAAGAACACTCAAGCAGTGAACCATGCTCTAATATTGTTCTGGAAACTGTCACACCCCCATATTCTTCTATGTAATTTTTTTACTAGTCAGTACCAAGGAACTTACAAATCAAAGATGTCATACATTTCTAACTAAAATGTTAATAAGCTTAAATAAATTACTTACATCTCTATCCACAGTTGTTGCAAACCCAATGGCCTCCTTCTGTGTACAATTGACTGCTTTTTGAAGTGTATAAATAACTTGTTCATATGTGTGTACTTCATCATTAAAAAGCATGCAGTAATAAGTATCATTTTTCTTCCTGTAAAGACAGTATCAACAAATCATACATTCAATGATTTAAACCATTTAAAGTATTTTTGGCATCATTCTTCCATTATTCATTGCAATTTCTGTATAGAAAGATACTGCACTAGGCAGTAAGAACAAGGACAACTTATTGAGGAAAATTTAATTAAAGTTTTACTATTATTAATATAATACAGTAATACCACTAAGTACACTGGATCCCATTTCAAATTTTATTGGCTTTTTATCTGGACAGATCTCTGCTTTTCACATGTTTTTGCATTTCATTAATTGTTAGCTGCCTTCAGTGCTCAAACTGAATAGAATAAAGGAATACTGACAAAAGTAAGGAAGTCATCAGGTCTGACTACACAGATATATCCACAATATTTTCCTGGCAACAATGCAAAGGTGCCATTGCTTTCTTCCTAGGTTATTTTTTAAATGTTTAGGCTACCTACAGCCAAGGAAGCTTGGATGGTTTCCCATCAGATTACTAACCAAGCCCAACTGTTTGGCTTTTAAGCACAGATAAAGTCAGCCTGATGCTGCTACATGCTGATACTACAAAATACAGTTCTAAATTTGGAAAGACTACTCAGGAGTAATTTCTTGGAAAAAAGCAGAGCTGATGAAACCTGGGCTCTGGCAGGTTAAGGGACTCCTGGTAATTAGGGAGCAATCATGGGCTTTGTTATGATGCTAAAACAATGCCAGGCCATGAAGCCTGCCATCAAATCCTGACTTAAACCTCTAGCTGAAAAGACCTTTCTTGGAATTTGATTTGGTATTGATTGACTGATTGCCTGTTCTTTTGGACACAGTCACTCAGTGAGTCTTTTATGGTGATGTCAGAAGCTGGGGGCTGAATTTATAACTTTGAAGTAAGTTGTTTGCGGTACTACTGCCTTAGCTGCCATTCATGAAGCCACTATAATTCAAGTCACTTTTTTACAAACGACTCCAGTATAATAGCATTTCCCTTTTAGTATTTAACAAAGTAATCATAGTAATGTTTTATTAAAACTAGGAATCCAATGGTGGGATTTGGTCTCCTACTTACGCTGTTTCTAAACCTGGTGGCAGTTCATTTTCTTTTTCCCATGTTAATATATCTACAGCATACTGAAACACGATTGCAAAAATACCATACACTTTTGTTATCATATCTTCTGACAAATGCACAAGAGGGTCCTAAAATAAGACAAAGTGAAAATATTATTATACTGAGACTACGTTTTCTCATTTTTTTCTACCATGAGATTCAACAAGAATTATCTTTGGGTGGATTATTAATATATTGACTGTGAATACACCCAAATGAATTTGAATATTTATTTCATTTCAGTGCTTTTCTGAATATTTCTATAACATTCGCTTTGCTTTCTTCATTTCTTTTCCATCTTCCAGAATCATATGAGATATACAAGGTTCAAATATATGTTAATAAACAAGATTTAGGTAAACAGATAAGCAAAGTATGGAGGGTAAGTAAATAAAGGAAACACTACTATTATCTTAGGCAAAATAAAATAGCTCCATCACTACTTTTTATGAATCATATTAATCAGTGTGTATTTCCAGAAGCCCAGGCTGAACTATCTGGAATTTGTCATCTTTCTAAAATTAAGGTAATTTTTTTCATGGGTAGATAGTATGAAAACATAATGGTGACATGCTACATATATAATCCTTCAGCAGTGGTAACTAAAAAGAATCTTATGAACATTTTCCCTGGTCTTTCCCCAGCTTCCATTCATTGGATACTCTTACCAAAACAGAATTATTATGGATCATTTCCACAGAAGGGGGAAATCTGCTGAAATTAAGAATACAAACAACAGGAACTTCTGGTGAGGATTCATAGCGAACTAGATGTCCCTGAAGGAGCAGGGACAGCATTGCTATACAGATTGGTGGCCAGACAATGAATTCTGGCCAGCGAAGTCTCTCCAGAAAAAGGAAAGATTGTGAGATCATCCACTTGTACTCGTGGCAGCTGCTCCTCATGAGTAGACTGCAAGAACTGAGTCCTCACTTAATGATAGTTCATTTAACAATGGTTCGAAGTTACGATGGCCTTGGAAAAAGTGGTTTAAGGCCTGTACTCGCAACCGTTGCAAACCATCACACGACCCCTGAGGTCATGTTATCATGATTTGTGACCTTTTTTACGATGGTCTTTAAGCGAATCATGTGGTCATTAAGCAAATTCTGCCAAAAACCGTCCATTGGGGAAACTGGATTCGCTTAATGACCACTGATTTCCTTAATGACCACTGATTCACTTAACCACCACACGATTCGCTTAACAGCCATCATAAAATGGTCATAAAATTGGGTCTGGTCATGTGGTGACTTGCTTAATGACCACACTGCTTAACAACCAATTTTCTGGTCCCTCTTGTGATCATTAAGTGAGGACTACCTGTACATGATAGAGTAAAGAAGTTCGGTGATGACAGGTAGGCCGAGATAGTGTAGTCTCAAATTTTACTCTCCATCCTCTTCTTCATTCCACACTATTATCTCAGCATCGCATACTATAATTTAGATGACAGCACCCTGTTACCTCCTGCTCCTCAGTTTCTGAAGTTCTGTGCTCATGCTTCTGGCAGTAAGAACCTTCTTTCCAAGCTTCAGTGTCACCACAGTCACAGAAACCACCTCCACCTGAAGTTGTCATCTAAAGTATTATTTAAAATGTGCAAGATGGAAAAAATACTGGTCAAACGAAAACACAAATAAACATTGATCCAAAGGCTGATAGCAAATTTCACAGAACAATAAAATTACTTAAGAGGCTGTTCACAGTTCCATAGGGTAATCATTCCCCAGGGCAAGAACTGCAAGTAAGATAACCACTGTTAGAGCTATGTGTAACATCTTAGAGTCCAAGCTTTAATTCATAGAGCAGAAATTGAGCACTAGTGTTATGGGAGACGGGAAGGGGATCTTTCCTATCTATTTTCTCCACATTATTTTATGTCCTGTTGATGCTACTTGAAAAGTAGTACAGATAGATAATTAATGATGAATACTAATAGGGAAATTGGCTTATTTTTCAACAACAGCTGCATACAGATACAACAATTTCACTGAATTATGTGCCACAACTCCAAAATCCCTTTTTTAATCTTTGGATTACAATTCCTACTAATTCGCAGCCATCAACATATAAGCATTTATCACAGTAATTATGGCAAGTACCTCCTTCCACTTTGCAAAGTAAATGTGTGATAACTAGACAATTTAAGCTCCAGGAATATTTATCCCAAAAGAAGACAACCCTGAATTTAAGAAGATCCCACTCCAAAGGAAGAGTGGACTAATAAACAAACAAACAAATGGCTAAACATTGATACAAATCCTGTAAAATGCCCAAGTTCCCCACTTTATCAACCAAGGGTTTTCAATTTCTCCTCAATTAATGCTGCAACTCCCCCCACCCAATAAATGTATATATGTAACACATTTGAATATCTGTGTATATGCACTACACATGCCAGGAGCCACATTCCAAAAAACAAAAACAAAGGCCAGGGCCCAACGAAAGAAATGCATGCATATTAACTGAATTAATATCTAGTTATTAAAATTAATTTCCCCTAAAATAAGGTACCCCATTTATAAAACCAATATCTATCTGCATATACCAGCTGTTCTCTCTCCTACATAGAGACCATGCTCTCATATAGAAACATAGAACTACACATACATACAAAAACACCTCTTTCCTTCTAGGAATGCAAAAAAAAATAGGGGCTGGAAAAAGGATGGAGATGACATAAGAAGAAAGGCTGACTAGCCAGGGAAGGGGAGGGGGAGGGAATTTATTGTTATTGTTGTTGTATTTTATTTGCTGAAATTATGAATTATAATACAATGCCAGGGCAAATTATTTGGAGGGGTGTTTCAGTCACACAGCATCACAAGTTAAATGCCACTCCTTGAAGCAGTGAGGCAGCAGTGTCCTCCTGGAAGTTCTGCTCAGCTACTTAAAGGGCCTTCTCAGGTCATCTGTATGTAGATTCCAGAAGATATTTTTGCCTGGCTTGACAACAAAGCAAAACAGAAGTGCTGGTAGAAATGTCTTCTGTGTGTGAACATTATATGCAGATGATCTGGGAAGGTCTTTGACAGGTGTGCAGAATTTGAATCTGAAGTGCACGAGCATCTTTCAGATCTGGCATGGGCACCCTCATTATACCTGTCAGCTGCTCCTGAAAGGAATGATACCTTTTCTGGGCCTTGCAAGGTAGCCACAGCTCATTTAAGGAGCAGCTTATGGGTACAGTGAGTGGGGCCATGCATGATCCAAAGCACCCTTGCACACTTTAGATCCAAATCCTACACATTTCTAATTTTCAAAGTAGCCTCAGTGAGCCTTTTGAAAGTCACAACTATTTCAGTATATTGAGAAGCAGTATTTTTGTGATTTTGTCTGGTATTGTCTGGCAATGATTTGTACAGCCCTACAAAATATACACTCAAACAAAGTAAAAAAAAATCACTAAAGTAATAAACAAACTTACTAACCCTATATCGATGCTCCCTGTGAACACTTCCCAGAAAACATTCCATGCATAATACACAAGTTGGATCAACTGCACAATCTCTGATGGAGGAAAAAAAGAAAAGGAAATGCACAAAAATACTTTAAATGCTCAAGAAAAAAAATATAACAGAAGCAACTCAGGCTATTCTATACACGTGGAAATCCTGTTCATTAGCTAAGGGTAACAAAATGGGAGTAAGGGAGAGAAAATGAGGAGGAGGATTAGGTATATGTACATCTGCATAAATGATATTTCCTATTTTTGTCCTTCAGCTATCCATTTCTAAGAGTAAGCAGCAGTATTTTCAACTATTTATATCATGAAATTATGATGAAAAAGCTGGTAACTTCAGAAATAGACAACACTTTAGCAAATAAATAATTTTTAAAAAACACAAAGCATTATTACACTTTAATACTTTAAATCAGATTTTAAGCTGTTCTGAGTTATTACAGGAGGAGTTTAAACTCTGTAGAACTGTGAAATGACAAATATTCAATTAAAACACTTCTTGAATTGCAGTTTGACCTGGATGTTTTGTCCTGAACTATTATCGTTATATGAATGAATTTTAGCATCCAAACCTATAGAAAATTTCTAAAAGCCATTAAAAGTTATTACTGTACTAAGATGGTAATTAGTTGCCTTCAGGAGCTTTGGAATAAAGTACTATCCTATGCTAGTGAATTAATGGCAGACTCTTTAAAATTATTTATTAAACATCAATATTATCTCCTATCAAATGATGAGAGTAATTTAAAAAATATAATCTTCTTTTTCATGTCTATTAAATGCCTTTAAAAGTTTTTCAAAAAGAGCTGACTACCACTTCCATTATGCTAAAACTGCAGTACAGATGAGGGTATAGTTACCTATATGATATGAACTTGTTAATTAATATCCCACTTTGGTTTGATATTTGCTAAATTGTTAATACTGTACAGTGTTACAATAACCATGTGAGTGTGCTTTTGAATTATATATCCCAAATTTGGAATGTATTACTATGTGAAAAATTATGGATACATCATACATTTAACAATGGAAAGATAAAATTACTCTGGACTCATAGTTCTGGATAGCAGATATGTGCCCACTTTCTGCTTATGAACAGGCATTTAATTGATGCAGTGGAAAGACTGATATATTTTATGCTCAGTTAAATGATTCATTTAAAAATTATGTTGAATTATATGTTCAGAATGCAATATGTATGAGTTTTCTGCACATAACAAAATAAAAATATTAATTTCATGTATATAGAGATAGAATTCTGACATAAATACAGACTAAATAATTAAATATAAGTGCAACTTCACAAGCTTTCTAAGGAAATCACACTGTAACCTTCTCATATCAGCATAGTGAACTACCATTCTGAAGGCTTCCAGAAAAGATCAAGTAAGATTCCAACTGCCACAATGGAACAAGTTGAGATAGTTAACACCTATGCATCTTCCTAAAGAGACAATTCAATCCAATACAAAATATCTGTATAGTATTCTATATTCATCATGGATTATGCAAACATACTTCATTTCCTCATTACTGCTTGAAAAATCCCAGAGCTTTGTCTTGTACTCTAACCCAATGTCTCTCAGAAACACAACAAAATTAGAGAATGAAGATAATTAAGAAAATATTTGAAGAAAAAGAATATTAACCAAAACTTGTCATATGCTATGGAAAAATAAAAAAGCAATACTACATTTTAAAGTAGTTTGTTTCACTGAGCCCTAAGAAATGGATGGATGGATGGATGGATGGATGGATGGAGATATAGATATAGACATAGATCCTAAACATCCACACAAGGCCTGTCTCAAAGAGAAATTTTATTATATGTTATCAAATTTCTGGCTATCTCTTTTCTCAGATCATGTGATGGCATCCAAAAGACATTTTCATGTCAAAGTAGAAATGTGTTTCACTTTCTAAATCTACCACTGTAATCTCTTTGGAGAACTGAAAACTTTCTAAGTTTTGTTACAGTGCTGGGTCCAACCCCCTGGTACCAAACTTTTTACCTTTTGTTCTGTGTTTGTTTCTGCACGTTTCTCCTTAGAGCCATGAATCAAACATTATAAACTGTAGTCTTTTTTACAGCTATGATGTTCTCCCCACTCAGTCTCTTTTTCTTTTCTAACATTTGGATTTTCATATATTTATCTATCTCAACAGTAGAATCAGCAGAAAATAAATTTCATTTTAACTTACGTTATAATAATATATGAGAGTGTCAAACTTTACAACAGATTTGACTGCTATGAATCCAGAAGTATAAATTTTTAAAATCACTTTTTTTCTTTTTGAGGCAAGATTAATGTAGTTAAGATGAACGTAATTCTGAGGATGATTTACATATTAAGAAATCTTATATTTATTCCTTACTCTAAGAAAATGCATATGCTATGAAATTTCCTTTAGCAGGAAATTCCTTTCCACTGTACCAATTACAATTGCCTGTTGAGAAAGGTAGATTTATTTTCTCTACTTTAAAGCATGTCACAGGGTATCTTTTTTTTATCTTTGGTTATTAACTAGAACAAGGCATTTCAGAAGTCAGCTCCACTCTGGACTCAGTTTGAAAGCTACTGTATGACTGCTGAAATCCTGGCAAGTATTAGAATTCTTGTTTCTATGAGGATCAGTTTTAATACCTGCACTTCATGCTGGAAAACATTGGGTCACAGGTATCATATGGAACCCTTTACCTACAAAAAAAAAGCATATATTATCTGATAATTTTAATTTTAAAATGGCCATAAATTTTATTATCTTGGACAAACTCATGAAGTAGTTTTACACACTTCTGTAAAACCTAGAACTTGATTTGATTTACCCTACCCTAGATATTCAACTTATGCATCATTATTTGGTCTTTTTGGTCCTAATGCTACCACTGCTTTTGAAATTCAATGTTTGTTTAAGGTTTTGGAAGAATTACATAACCTATTTTGGGAATTCAATGACACTAATCATTATTTATATGACCACTGGTAAAATGTCCTGTTCCTGTAAGCAGAAGACTGCTTTTAAACATGTGGTTAATTTCTTTTGATGTTAAAGTGAGGTTAAAACAACAGAAAATGTTAGCTCCTTGTACAATGACATTTGTAGAATCCCAAGGGTCAGCAGGTTGTTACAAAAAGGACTTAAGATTCTTGATAGCCTTATGTTCAATGAAGCACAACATGAAAAATTATAATTTGATTTAATTTTTATTACCATCTTCGTACTCCACCAATAGTTATAGTCTTCCAAAATGCAATTTTATTAGCATACCAATAATTTCTTCCCTAGTTATAAGGAAACCATCAGGAACATTTCAATATTACACATGACAACTATTTAACTGATTTTAGTAACATACCAATGTAATCATGCTAATGTTAAAGGACAACTTAAAATAAATGATTTGTAGTTACCTGCAAGAATAGGTAGGCTCTCCAACTTTAAAAACACGGCCACAAAGATGTGAAGGTTTGTTTGATTGCTCAAGTTTTTGAAAGCCATATGCAGGATCTTCACCACAAAGATACCACTCCATTGGGCCCAGAAGAACATGTTGTGCCAGCATATCTTCTCTTTCAGGGGCTGGATTAGGACCTCTGCAGTAAATTTGAGGCACATAATAGGCTAGGTGCTTGTATATTTCTTTAGGAAGATCAGATGCTTGCAGCCATTTCTTCAAGAAAAAAAGTGAAAAAATAGAAAATTAAAATATGATATAGCTACCCAAATGTTTTAAGAATAAAAGCTACTGATGAATTCTGCAACTTCTTGAATTTCTTACAATTCAAGAATTGTAAATTCTGCACTTACAGTTCTTGAATTGTAAAACATTAAAGTCAACATTAAAGCTGACTTTAATGCCCACAATTCAAAGGAACACTTTGAACATACTGAAGAGCTCAGTATACCCAATAAGAAGTTGATGTCACCTCTCCTCAGTACAATACATTCTTGTATTTCAAGAATGTCAAAGAAATTACTATGTGATTTATACTCTGTATAAATGTTGTTTAAAAATAGAAGTCAAATGGAATTCAGGCTTTTTAAAAAAAACTTGTTAAGTTCATCATAAAGTTGTAAGCAGAAATGCATAAGAACTGCCTTAACAGATTGAGACAAGAACCAGGCACTCCACCATTTCTGTAAATGCTTTCTTTTTTTATAGCAACCACTCATATATCTTTGGAAGCTTGTCACAAAGACAATGATCATAGATGTCATTTGTAGACATTTTCACCAGATATTTTCAAACATTATATGCCCAGAACCAAAAGATTTTCAAAACTTACATCTGGACCTCTTCCTAATGTTTTTATTGCAGCTGAAATAGTCTGTAACCAAACAAAAGTTGCTCTACTACAGACCAACCATTCAAACTGATGGCTAATAGATGCCCATTAAAATTAAAACTAATTTAAAAAGATTAAAATTGCACAAGTTCATCTCCCTTACCTTTCACCTATAGAGGCATCCCCTGCATTTATCTTGAACATGTAAGAATTAAGAATGAAAATATGAATAAGGTACTTTAAGAGAAAGAAATACTGTGCAATGCCTATGTTACTGCTTGTGAACTGTTGCAGTGAAATTCAAAAGTCCAATGGATAATACTAAGCTATGGGATAACATGATAAAGCCCAAAAATGGCACAGCTATCACTCCTTAATCATTCAATAGCATGGTGTTGCAACTTGTGTATAATCAAGATGAGCAAGGGTGAACTAAAATGACCTTACATTCATTTAAAAAAAAAAAAAACTTTGCTGACATTTCTATTTATATGCATATATTACAATTACATCCTAGCTAATTACAGAACATGATTTTTCCAACATACTGGTTGATTTCTGGTAGTTTATCTGACTTGTAAATATACACAGCTCTCCTTCTACAATATCTTTAGCCAAATTCAAAATCTCTTAGGAGTCTTTTTACATAATAATTAAACAGTTCTTGTTCAGTCATCAAGAAATTGAATTTGTCTTAGGACAAGGATGAGACTACAACTAGTCCAAGTCCCTTTTTGACCCCAAAATCATGTTGCCAAATTTTAGTAATCATAGCAGGATGATTTCTCACTAGGTTTTAACAGGAAACTCAGGAATAAGGAAATCTGTAAATCTTCTGGCAGGTAACATAATTATTAAAACAACCCCTAAAACTCCAAAATAAATTTTAAAAAAAATGACTGAACATTCTAGCCTTCCCATCTCCATGAATGTTACCATATGATCACTATGCTTTTTGCAATCCTTGGCTACCTGCCCCACCCCCCACTCCCGCCAATTTATATATGTGTGTGTACACATACCCGCAGCTCTTGACCACAGGGGAAAAAAAGGCCTCTCCTGAAAAAAACTAAACCTCCAATTAATTTTACTGTTAACTAGGATGTTATCAGCAGTGTCTGGCAACAATGTATTGTATTTAATTAATTTCAGGAACTTACTTTTGTTTTATTTGAAGTATTTTGTTTTGTCAAATACTTAAATGAAATAATGTTCAAACTAAAGAACTGGAAATAAATGTATTGTCAGCTTTTTTAAAAAAAATAACAGACTATGAGTTGAACAAATGTTGTATTCCAAGAAAGCTAAAACAAACGATTATTTCAAACTAACAAAATAAGATTTACACTGGAGCTTTTTATCTATAACATTTGTGACTTATCATTAAAAAAAAATGCCATGCTCCATGTAAACAGTATTTCAAATCATATTTTTTGAACAACTTTCAGCAACTATATCCATTAATTCTTTAAGCCATACTCAAAAAAATCATTATATATGTATGATGAGAGAAGTGTTTTTAAAAACATGCCAAGTTCTTATTTCTCCTTTAGATAATACATACCAGACACCTAACACTCTTTTAAACTAGGTATCACTATAAAGCTATTCAAAGGTCTGTAAGAGCAACTGCTGAATACATTTCAAGAAAACTGAACTATGTGCCCATTGAAATCCTACACCTAATGCATTTTAAAAATGGATATCAGAAAACACCCTTCATGGATCACTGCCTTGTCGTGGCGAAAGGGCTTGCGTAACTCAGTGAAGCCATGA